CTCATGCAGCCATCTAATATGTCTACTCTAGTTTCTAAAGCACTTCCAAAACGTTACAAACCACTAAAAATGTGCTATTTGCTGCCCAGCTGCCAATAAAAATCGGTCTTGACATACACCCAATAAACTTCTGCTAGTCAATACTGCCAAGCGCCGGAAAGACCTTAACACCTATTTTTACCTTAGCCAGAATCTTGAATTTTTGCATCGCAAAATTTCTCTAACTCTATCTAATCGCGAAAGCGCTTTGCAGATACCATAGGCAGATCTAGAATCAGCGTTCTATGCTATATAAAATAGTGTTTCCTATGCAAACGCCACTTAGATCAAGTATCCTTCCCATGTTCTATATTTTTTCAACTTTTTCTAGATTTTTTGAACTGAGCTGAGTTATTCAAAAGTCTAGGGTAGCGCTTCTTTTCGCCTTGGAAATGATAGAATCTTTACTCAAATGACGTTATGTTTGATTGGATCGCATAAGAATCACTTACTTCGTTTTATAAGAAAGTTTTTTGTTCTGTTAAAATAATAATTTACCTTCCTGAAATCGATCATGACGAAGCAACCAGCTACAGCTGGAGAAAACGGCAAGCCCATTTCGCGAAGTTGGCTCTCCACAAATTTGTAGTGGGCTGATAACCTGGTCAGCTTGATCTCGTTAAATTTCCGCAGCCAGTCTGAAAAATCAGTTATCAGCCTGAGAAAACAATTTTTGTTTTCATGAGGCTGAAGCAAAGAGGCCATGAGCTCAAAAAAGTGATTTTTTGGTCAGAAAAATTGAAAATTTTTTAACAAATGAAACTCACCAAAATCGGATAGAATTGTTGTCGCAACATCATGTGCCAAACCAGACACGGGATGGATGAGCTCGAGCGTGGCCAGAGACTGAGCTAGCTTTGGGTATGGTGTGTGGACCACGGATATCTTCAGGCCCGGTACGCCAAAATCCTTGAAAAACATTTTTAGCGATTTTACGTAAATAGCATGACCTACTTACTTTGCTGAGACTCCAAAAATACATGACATTCTCTGGCCTCTCTAATCGGCTTCTATAGCTGAGAAAACTCTTGAAGGGTGAATCTGGTGCGAATACACATGAAGTGAAAGATTCGTCGATAAGAACAATGAGGTTATTACTGAAAAAGGTTTGTCAACTTTTTCGTAGGAGAAAATCTAAAGAGGTCAACGAACCTAGTAGCCCAATCACACAATTT